ATGAGTCAAAATTTTTGATCGAGTTGATTTTGAGCTATACACGGATCGACTTGAACTGGCTCGAGATTGGCTCAAATTGTTTTTATTTATAAAAATTATATTTAATGCTAAATAAAATTGAATATAATGAGCCACAAGCTCCTTTCAAGCTGGAACGGATCTAAATAACTCAGTTTGAGTCATCTTATTTCGATTTCGAGCAAAATCAAGTTAGAACGGATCCAAATAACTCGAAAATGAGCCAATTTGTTTTGATTTCGAGTCTGATCAAGCTCAATTCAATTTCAAGCCGAGCTAGCTCAAAATCAAACATAACGAACCACAAGGAGCTCAAAATCAAACATAACGAAGATCAAGCCAATTTTGCTGACTTTAATCTTATTTTGTACCATTAATTTTGAATTTATAAGGAAAATATCATTTATTAAATATAAATATTATTTTATTTTGTACCTTTCATATAATTTTTAATAGAAAAAAAAAATTATAATATTCTTTAGGAGTATTTTCTAAATAACTTTGTATCTCAAATTTTATGTATAGAACTTGATGCATTTTTTAATATATTTGTAAATAACTTTGTATCTCAAATTAAAAATTTACATAAATACCCACACAATTCTTATGCATTTACATACCTAACAATTAAAAATTTGATATTTACATTTATAATACATTGAAATTTAAAACCTTTACATGAAAATGAGTATTTCAATGCTAAGATATGAATAATATTGGTGTTTTTTTGTATGTGTATGAGTGTTATTTATGTAAATATTTAAAAGTTTAGGTGTTAGCTATGTAAATATATATAAATTGTGTGGTATGTATGTAAATTCCCCTGAATTAAAATGTTTTCAATATATACATATAATTCAAATTTTTAGAGTAAATATTAATGTGTATGATTGTTATATTTACATTGAAATTATATAAAAAAAGAGTTTTAATATCATTTTTCAATATATACATATAATTCAAATTTTTAGAGTGAATATTAATGTGTATGATTGTTATATTTACATTTAAATTATATAAAAAAAGAGTTTTAATATCATGTCTCAATGTTCCATGCAAATTGATCATTACTTGATACGTGTCAATTTAGTCATTGGTCTCTTTTAGTACAAGAAAAATGATTGAGTAGGTGATTAATTATTTCTTTGAACTTTATTAGTCAACTATCATACAATATTTGTGAATGTTCCGCTAGGCTTGGGCTCCAAGTAGTATGTGTACTAGGTAGGTTGGGCGCGACCATTCCCTCCACTACCAATGAACTGGTCCAATGATTGAGTTAGCCATGTAAAGTGACTGCCCTGCTGATGTTCCATGAAGATTATCAACCAAGATTATGCCAATCTAGAAGTCCTGGTTCTGCTCGTTGAAAAGCGGGCCCGAGGAGGAGGAATAGGGGCTCTAGTGGCCTCTACACTCCTAGTAGGAAGCTGATGTAAGGCTTGAATAATAGCCCCTATAATGGGTTGCATGGGGCTTTACTTCTCTCGGGATTCAACCTCTTTCCCGACTCCAATGCAGATGGGCATTCTTAGCTTATAAGGACCCAAGAAAATAGTTGTTGGCATCTTTCAGGTCAGTGTCGTGACATCAGTTCCATAGTTACGGTGCTCTGCCATTTTCAGGCACCTGAAAGCTCTGGTTTGACGAACACCATTATAGGTGTTGTTGTGGCACTAGACACATCAATAACGTCCTGAAGCCATGTCCAGTGCCATGGCGCTTGTTTGCTCAGGTCCCGAAGGTGGCTCTTGATTGGAAATCCACCATGACGGGCATTTATGTGGCATCAACCATGTCATCAACACCAAGATGCCTTCAACTGAGCCGCGACACCTAATTGATGTTGGGTCAGCTTTCAAGTCGTAATATGCAAGACATACGTGTGTAATGAAGCACATGCTTATGAATGCATAAACACAAAAATTACCTCCCCTACCATCAAATAGAGGACACTGTGTTGTTGTGAAGATGACTTCATAGAATGATCTCTATTTATGATCCAAAAGTAAAAAGAGGTAGCATCCTAACGCTAATGAATGTTATTTAGACATCAATCACCCCTTTTATCTATGGAGAGAAGAATGGATATGATAAAACACATTGCAATCTAATCCCACTCAGTGACATGACTCAAACACTATCCTACACGCCTCACATAAGAGGTATACAAAAGTTGAGAAATATAAGAAAATGAGTTTATGTCGGGTCATTCCAAAAGTTGACATAATGACACAAGCCCTGCCAATTAGTTGGTCAAGGCTGAACCACCACCATAAGGAAGGGTATATTAATGATTTGGGATGATAAGTTCCCAAATTGACAATCTATAAAACCAAAGACCTGATCATTCAGAACCACCAAACTCAATCTCAATATATGATCATACATGGGAGATGTCTAAGTGTCAGACCATAACTGAGTACACGACCCTGCACCATTGAGAAAGTAATGCCGTGCTGCCACTGTGAAGAGTTTAATTTTAACATTCTCAATTTGTGTGCTACCAATTTTGTGTATACAATTTGAAAATAAGGATATTCCTGTAGACAAATTTAACATTATGGACTCGCTTACACAGTTCATTTTACAATCAAACACCTTGTGAGCATGTTTTGGTGACAGTCAAGGTGATCTAAGCTCAAATCGCACAGGTAGCTTTGACTTCTTGCGTTTTTTATTATTTTTAACATGAAAGAGTTCTCCTTAGGAAATTTCAATCTTTCGAATGTGCTCACACAATCCGTTTTGACATCAATGGTATTTTGTTGTGACTTTGTAGACTGTCGGGATGATTTGAGCCCAAATTACACACGTCGTGCCGTCAAGTTGCATTTTCACTGTGTTTGCTTCTTTCAATCATGAAAAACCCCCTCCTTGAGTAATTTCAATGTTTTGAATGCACTGGTAGAGTCCATTTTGCAAACGAGCATTGTTTGAGGAGAACTTCAAGCATGGTCAAGGCATTATAAATTTAATCATCCAGTGTCACATTTTTCATTTGTTGCTCTCTCCATGTTCGATCAACTTATATTATGGAGTACATGTGAAGATCAACAACGACACAATTCTTATATTTGCATGCTTACCGCTCAAATCTTTAATAAAACATTAAAAAAATCACCATCTCTGTCCATTTAAAAACATAGCTTTATATGAGTGTAAATATCAATCTTTGGGTATTGGATATGTAAATACAAAATTGGGTGATATGAATGCAAACTTAAGATTTGATGTTGGTAGAGAATACAAAACTAAGAAGTTCTCTATTGTCTTATGGCAAGAATAGAAAAGTTTCTCTTACACTTTCTATCAACTACTAAAATTCAAGCACAAAAAACAGAGAACGTTAAGTTTGAACACAAATGGTGACATTCAAAGAATACATTTTTTTTAACAGCCAAAAGCTTCATCTTCAACTGTTGCCTATAGAACATCATCTCACTCACCTGATCCCAATCAATTAAAAAACAAATACAAATTTACATAACATATAAATTTCAAGCATTGATGAATCTATAATTTTGGACATTAAACTTTCAAACTCTTCAGGACAACACCCCTACTGATATTGTTCCTTCCATCAACAGACATTCTATGCTTTTCAGACAAATTTGAATCAGACAAATCATTTCGATTTTGTTCCTTGCCAATTGGTTGGTCAAGGCTGATCCACCACCATAAGGAAGGGTATACCAATGATTTGGGATGAAAAGTCCCCAAATTGACAATCTATAAATACCAGAGATCCTATCATTCAGAATCACCAAACTCATCTTAAAGACATAATCATACATGGGAGACAACATATAAATGTCAAACCATAACCGAGTACAACGACCCGCACCATTGAGAAAGAAATGATGCACTGCCACTACAAAGGGTTTAATTTCAACATTCTTGATTTGTGTGTTGCCAATTTTGTGTATACAATCTGAAAATATGGATATTCCTCTTGACAAATTTACCATTATGGACTCGCTTACGCAGTTCATTTTACAAACAGACATCTTGTGAGCATCTTTCATGATAGTCGAGATAATCTAAGCTCAAAGCACGCAGGTAGCTACGAAGGCCCGTGGTTTTTATTGTGCTTACTTATTTTTATCATGAAAGACTTCTCCTTGGAAAACTTTAATCTTTCAAATGTGCTCACACAGTCTGTTATGACAAGAACGGTTTTATTTTGCGTCTCTGTTGACTGTCGAGATGATTTGAGCCCAAAGTACACACGTCGTGTCGTCAGGTTGTATGTTGTCATGCTTGCTTCTTTCGGTCATAGAAAAACCCCTCCTCGGGTAATTTCAATGTTCTGCATGTAATGGTAGAGTCCATTTTACAAACGAGCATTGTTTGAGGAGAATTTCAAGCATGGTCAAGGCATTACAAATCTAATCATGCAGTGTCACATTCTTCATTTGCTGCTCTCGCCTTGTTCGATCGACTTATGTTGTCGAGTATATGTGAAGATCAACAACCACACAATTTATATATTTGCATACTTACCGCTCAAATCTTTAATAGCACAACAAAAAAATCACCATCACTATCTATTTAAAAACATAGGTTTATAACACCAAGGTTCTATGAGTGTAAACATCAATCTTTGGGGGTTGGATATGTAAATACATAATTGTGTGATATGAATGTAAATTTCCCTAATTTTTTTTGCTTAAGATTTGATGTTGGTGGAGAATATAAGACTAAGAAGCTCTCTATATTCTTATGGCAAGAATAGAAAAGTTTCTCTTACACTTTCAATCAACTATTAAAATTCAAGCACAAAAAACAAAGAATGTGAAGTTTGAACACAAATGGTGACATTCAAAGAATACATTTTTTTTTTAACAGCCAAAAGCTTCAGCTTCAACTGTTGCCTATAGAACACTATCTCAATTACCTCATGCCAATCAATAAAAAAACAAATACACATTTACATATCATATAAATTTCAAGCATTTATGATTCCATAATTTTGGACATTAAACTTTCAAACTCTTCAGGACAACACCCCTACTGATATTGTTCCTTCCATCAACAGACATTCTATGCTTTTCAGACAAATTTGAATCAGACAAATCATTTCGATGTCTCGGCGTGCTTTGCGATCTCGCCTTAGACTTCCATGACTTTGTTTTGGCCATGTAATTAGGGAAGAATAAAGAGTCCTGAGGGGCTGAACACGATCCATCTTCTCGACTGGAGCTGGCTGCTGAAGTGCTGATTCTTCGTGTTCTCAAAGCTGTGAGAAAGATGTCGTTTTCATCGCGAGTTTCCCGGCAAAGTTCCGCTGTAATTGAAGCAGTTGGAGAGGGTTTGTAATAGTTGAAGTGTCTTTGATCTTTGGCTTCTATTCGTGTCGTTGTGTTCCTCTTCTTGTTCTTCAAGTTGGCTTTTGATTGTGTCATGTTCATCTCTATAATATTGTTGTTCATATCTCTCTCCATGTCCTATATACATGTTGTTTGTTAGCCATTTCATATACTCTTAACATCATTGTTTCATATACCTATGCATGAAAATGTTAATTTCACTACAATATGATATGATATATATGCAATAATGACATCAATAAAAAGAGTAGAATGAGGACTTACATGTAATTGTTGGAATTTAGAATCATCGGTCCTTCTCCTCTGACAATTTTCCTTCCGCTGCATGGAATTATGAACTTCTTCAATCATTCTAACTCTCTGAGCTCGTGCTCGTACCTGAACTGTTAATAAGGCCTGCATGCTTCTGATAGTAGCTGCTGCTTCTTTCCTCACCAGAAACCCCCTCACCAATGCTTGCAGTTTTACCAACCCCTTCAATGCCCTCAATGCCTTTCTAGCCTGTCAATTGTTGTTGTTATCATCATCATACATATATATCACTCAATTTTTTTGTATTTGCATATACAACCCTATGCATGAGATCAAGGTAGGCATATTTTACTTTTGAAAAGTTAAAATAGTGATAAGAATTTGAGGGAATAAATATAAAATCAAAAAGTTTGTTGTTAGATATGTAAATACATAGGATTAATTGGGATCATGAATCAACTGTAAATACTTCGTTGCAGCTTCAATTTTGATATTGCAGAAAAACATAATTTAAGAAAATAGAAATATAGATCATGCAAAGAAGCAAAGGTATATATGTAAATTACAGTATTTACCAAGAAAGATCTGAAACAAGCTTGGATTGTGATTGCTGCAACATGCTGAATAATTCTGAAACTCGGTTTCTCTGCAACTACTCTGCTCATTTCAGGCCTGAAGAACAATGATGATGGACTCTGTTTCAATACTCTTTCGAGCTGAAAGTTTCCCGTGTTTGGAGTCGTCGGCGGTGGCGGTGGCGGGGGCGGCGGAGGCGGCTGAGTTGGCGGCGGCACCGGAAGCCTGAGCCCGATTGTTCTCTCCATTAATCTTATTTGATTCTTCTCCTTCTTTCCACTCAAGAAATTTCTCAGCCATTTTCCAGCTTTCACCATTCTTCAAACCGGAGGAAGATGGAGAACTAATCAATGAGAGATTTTGCAGTTTAGTTTGTTTGAATTTATATCAGAGGCTTGGATTATAAAAAAAAAAGAGGTCTTTTTCTGCTTCCATTTGGCAGAACCTTGATGGAATGCTTCCAAATGCTTAATTACAACCACTGTTGATGAAAAATATATATTTCAGAATATTCTGATTCATATTTTATAAAGATGGTATTTTTATAATTAGTGATATATATATATATATATAATTTGATTGATTAATTATGTAATATTATTATAATTTTATAATTAACTATCTTAATATGTGTATATATAATAATATAGAAGTTGGAGCCATGCTGAAAGGTGTTGAAAATTCAGAAGGTGGATTAAAACAAAAGAAAAATCCAAATTTTGTGATTTTCTTGATATTTTAATTGAATTTATATTATTAATAATATTATTTTAATTTTGTAGTTATTTGGTGTTCAACAGCACATGCATGCAAAGGCAGATAACTGGGATATGAGCTGGAAAAAAATATAGGGCGCCGCCCAAAACATTGTTATTTACAAATCAAATCTAGGGCTGTCAAAATGACTCATTGTTCGCGAATAGTTCGTGTTCGGCTCGTTAAGAAGTTCGTGTTCGGCTCGTTCACTAAATTAACGAGTCGAACACGAACAATATAAATAAATATTTGTTCGCTCGTGCTCGATTCGTTTTGGCTCGAAATACTATCAATCAATTATATATATATATACATTTTGATGAGTAGTATTTTTAAAAAAATTAATTGACTACGAGGCTTCAAAGATTTATAATCAATTAAAAGTATTAATGAATAAAATAGAATAAAAATTATTAAATTAGATTCAAATAATGTTTTAAATCTTGCCCCAATCTTTAACATCTTATTACTACGTCATTAGGGTTGTCAAAACGACTCTTTGTTCGTGAACGGCTC